CCCTGAGCTAACATCTGCCAATCCTCCTCTTTTTGCTGAGGAAGATTGGCCCTGGGCTAACATCCATGCCCATCTTCCTCCACTTTATATGGGACGTCGCCACAGCATGGCCTGACAAGCGGTGCGTCGCTGCGCGCCTGGGATCCAAACTGGCAAACCCCGTGCCGCCGCAGTGGAGCGCCGCACTTAACCGCTTGCCCCATAACAGGACTCTTATCAATGGTGTGGGCGGGACGTAGGGCGACCTCTTGGAGGGCGTGGTCTCCTGGTCTTAAGGGATGAGGGGAAAGGGAGGTTACCAACCCAATAGGAGACAGGTGTGTGGAGAGGACCGCCTTGAGAGGCGCTGTGCCCTTTGGTCAAGGGACTCGGTCAGCACGTGGTCAGCGAAATAAGCACCCCAACCTCTAGTGTCCCTCCAGTGACCCCACTGGCTGACCCCACCGGAAGCCAGAGGCCAAGGAAGCCTGTTGACGCAGTCCGTGGAGGTCAGCTCCCAGGGCAAAAGCAGGGCGGGGAAGGGTGGAGAGGAAACCGGGAGGGCCAAGGAGAGGCACCGGCACCCCCTGCCAGGCTACCCTCCATGGCTGCTCCGCTGTGCCGAGACGGGGCAAAGCCTGCTGGAGGCACCCCTGCTGCCCAGCACGGGGGGCCAGTAGCTCCAGGCTTGATAGGGGGTCCAGACACTGCAGCTGGGTGGGCGAGGTGAGTGAGGTCAGGACACCATGACCTCTGACCCAAGAAGAGGAGGAGCCTGAGGACCTGCAGGACCAAGTACCTTCTGACTCCTCAGAGACCCGCCTGTGTCCGATGCTGAGAGCCGGCTGTTTCTGGGTGGTGGAGACCGTCGTCCCTCTCCGGCCCCACCCTGTCCCCCTCCCTCTAGGACGGTCTAGAACTGACCACCAGCCATGTGCATGTGGGTCCCGAGAGGAGGAGCCCAGCTTCCTAGAGGCAGTCCAGTGAGTGGTTAGGAGCAGGACCCTGGAGCCTGACTGCCTGGGGTCAAATCCCGGTTCCCTACTTCTTAGCAATGTGACCTTGGGTAAGTCACTTAAGCTTTCTGTGACTCAGTTTCACCGTGTGTCAAATGGGCATCATAATTCTTGAGGAGAGGATGTGTTAATATTTGCAGAGTCCTTAGCCCGGTCCTTGGTAAGTGCTCAATAGATGCTCTCTCAGGACCGTGAAGTGTTCCTGTTGATCCGGAACCACGCTACCTATGGCCTGGGCTGCCTGGAGGACCCTGTGTGGTTCCGGACACATCCCTTGAGG